CCAGAGATTTTGGGTTGTTGTGTGTTCATTTTCATTTGTTTCCAGGGAGTTTTTGATTTCTTTCTTGATCTCATTGGTAACCCATTCATTGCTTAATAACATGCTATTTAGCCTACATGTGTTTGAATGATTTGGGGTGTTTTTACTGTAGCTGATTTCTAATTTCATTCCACTGTGATCTGAGAAGATGCTTGATATGATTTCATATTCTTGAACTTGAAGAGACTTGTTTTGTGTACTAACATGTGGTCTTCTGCCTCTTCTGGCACACCTGCTATCTTTGTGAATGATCCATGTGCACTTGAGAACAACGTATATTCTATTGCGTTGGGGTAAAATGTTCTATAAATGTCTATTAAATCCATTTGATCCAGCGTGTCCTTTAGAGTCTCTGTGTTCTTGTTAAGTTTTTGTCTGGAAGATCTGTTGAGTGAAGTCAGACAGGTATTAAAGTCCCCTACTATGTCTATATTGTTGTCAACCTCTCTGTTAAAGTCCTCCAGAAGTTTTTTAATATATTTAGGTGCACCTATATTTGGTGCATATATGTTTACCAGGGTTATATCTTCTTGTTGGATCGATCTCTTTAGTATTATGTAGTGACCTTTGTTGTCTCTTGTGATGGCCTTCATTTTAAAGTCTATTTTGTCAGATATGAGTATTGCTACTCCAGCTTTTTTTTTCTTTTCCATTTGCATGGAAAAATTTTTTCTATCCCTTCACTTTCATCCTGTGTGTGTCTTTTGTTTTGAGGTGGGTCTCTTGTAGACAACATATAGTTAGGTCATGTTTTTGTATTCATTCAGCTACCCTACCCCTTTTGATTGGGGCATTTAATCCATTTACCTTTAGGGTTATTATTGAGAGGTACTTATTTATAGCTATTTTAATTCTGTATGGCTAGGTTTCTTTCTCTGTTTCTTCTTCTCAGCAATTCCTTTAGCATTTCTTGTAATACTGGCATGGTGATGTTAAACTCCTTTAGCCTTTTTTTTTTTTTTTTTTGTCTGGGAAGCTCTTTATTTGACTGTCTATTTTGAATAAAAGCCTTGTTGGATATAGTAATCTTGGTCTCAGATCCTTGCTTTCCTTACCTTGAGTACTTCATGCCATTCCCTTCTGGTCTATAGAATTTTTGAAGAGAAATCAAGTTTCAGCCTTATGGGAACTCCGTTGTAGGTAACAGTTTTCTTTTGTTGCCTTTAAGATTTCTCTTTGTCTTTATTTTTTGGCATTTTAACTATGATGTGTCTGGGTGTAGGTCTGTTTGGGTTCTTCTTATTTGGGATCTCTGTGCCTCCTGAACTTGTGTGACTTTTTCCTTTACCAGGTTCTACTCTCACAGCTCCAGTCCACTTCACCCTCCCTCTGCCAGAGCACAAGGTGGGTGGCTCCACAGGGAATTTTGTGCATTGGCCTTTCAAGAGGGTACCCGAACTTTCAGCTGCCACTTCCTGGCAGTAGCACCCTGCTGCTTTTCACAGCTAGATGTTATGTGGGTACCCTCCTCAGATTTGGTGCTCTCTGCTGGGGAGCCCAGCTTGGGGATTAGATCCCAGAGTTCTCAGTGGCACCCCTCCACAGCTAAGATATCTCTCCAGGACTTCAGTTGCTGTCTGTGGGCGCCCGGCCAGCCCTTTCTCACCTCTGCCCCTCCTACCAGTCTCTATGCAGTCTCCACCTTTGGTCCTTGGGTATAAGGGTTCTCTTCTGTGAGTTTCCCGTTGACTAGAGTTTGGAAACTTTGTAGCTCCCCACTCTGGCATTCATAATCTTGACTGCCCACCCCACCCTACCGCTGATTGCTCCAATCTGGCTTCCCACTTTTCCCCAGTCCCAACCCAAGCCAGACTGGCTTCCTTATACTGTTCACTGGTGCCCTGAAGGCCTCCCCTCTCTGTGCTCCTCTCCTATTCTATACTGTGCAGTCTTCACCCACACCAGCTTCAAGAAGAGCCAATCTTTTCCCCCAGGAACTGGCTACCTCTCACAGTGAGGAGCAGCCTGCCTCATCTGCAGTTAGCAAAGAAAGCCAGTAAACTGTGGCTCCCTCAGCTTGCCCTACAAAGCTGGGAGAGGGGCCAGACGAGAAACACATCTGGGAAAAGTGGTGGTTTGCTTGTCCCTGGAGAAAGATGTATTTTCAGCTACAAGGCTGTAGCCCTGGCTGAGGGTAGAAGAGAGAACAGGCCCCAAGATTGGTCAGAGATGAGGTTGCCCAAGTGGAAGAATAAAGTGGGCCATATGCTGGAAGGAGAGAAGGTTTTCCTGTAGATATGGAGGCTGGAGTAGGCATGGCAGGAAGGCACTTTGACCTCCACATACCTAAGAAGCTGGAGGCCCTATGATCTGAAAGCCTGCTGGGACAATGGCTGGGAGAGGGACCTACAGCTGTGTACAGGGGTAAGCTGGAGGGAGGAAGGTCGAGACACAGAATCCAATGCCAGCTTCTGCCACCAAAGGCTGGCAGACTAAGGCAGGGAAGCCACCTAAAGTGGTTGATTCTGATGTTACACATGCTTGAGTCACTTTGCCTGACATGGTGAACTGATACATGGAGTTGCTGCTTCCCGCTTTTCTCTGTTCCACAGGAAGCTATATATACATATACATATACATATACATATACATATACATATACGCATACACATATGCATATACATATACGTATATAGTTAACCTTCACCCTAGGGTGTTTTTCCATTCATTTTTACAGAGAGTGGAAGGGAAGGGTAGAGATAGAGAAAAACATCAATGGGAGAGAGACACATTGATTGGTTGCCTCCCACACATGCCCTGGGGCTGGGGATTGAGTCTGCAACTGAGGTACATGCCCTTGACCAGAACTGAACCTGGGACACTTCAGTCGGTGGGCTGATACTCTAACCACTTAGCAACCCGGCCAGGGCAGAAAGTTATGTTTTTTCACCATTTGTCCATTCAACACTTGCCAATCACCTGAATTGTGCCTGGCCCTGTGCTGGGCGCTGGAGACACAACGATGAATGGGCACAGTCTTTACTTCAGGAGGTCACTGTCTAGAGCTGCAAAGAGCATTGTGCTCCAGTGGGGAGGTGCCCCTCAGCCTTCGCACACAGAACTGAACGTTATTAAAATGTTTTTCTTTGCATACATTTAACACTGAAACAAGCACCAACTCTGTTAGAAAATTACATTTAAACACAGTTACAGAAATGTAATCCCAAGTCACAGGTGTCTCATTTATCAAAGACAAAAGCCATTGGGACCGTTCTCCAGACGAGGCTTGGCTTTGGTTTTCCTGCTTAAAATCCCCTTGTGAGCTTCTTTCATGCTTAGAAAGATTTTATCTTCTTTCCAGGCTTTTCTCTTCAAAAGCCCGACCTTCACTGGGGCCAGTCCTTATAACTTAAAATAAAACAAGGGGAGTTCTTCACTCAGCTAGCTCATTTATTCTTCAACAGCTATTTCTTGAGCACCTAACGTCGGGACCAGACATGTGCTAAGCCTGAAGAATTCGCTGGTGAACAGGAGAGATGGAATCTTGCCCTCAGGGTCCTCAGTGAATTATCCCCAACCAGAGCTCAGGCTCCCTGAGGTTGGGAACACAGCTTGTCATGCTTGCTTGTCCCTCTTTCTCTGTTTCTTGCTTCATCCTAAATGGACCGACACAAAGACGTCTCTACTTTGTTCTTCATGTCTCATGTGTCTTACTGAGCTCATCACCTCTTTGTTCAAAGGCAAATGACCCTAACTCTGTCCAGAGGTGGGTTTATTGCTCCTCCCAGCTTTCCAGTTGAAAGATTAAGGGGGACAGGTTGTGCAGCAGAGGAGCACTTTGAGAGCTGCCTTGTGAGGGGAGTGACCCCAGGTGTCCTTGCTTTGCACCCCGAGGTCTTGCTAGTCTGGCCCTGATAGATTGGATTAGGAATAAATGCCTGACTACCATTCAGAGTCCGGCCAGTGACCTAGATGGTGGCCTGGCATCAGTCTGCCCCATAGGGATGTGAGTGACCAACACAGCTAATTGCACCCTCTGTGAGGGAATTTAAGAATGAAAGATACACCCACCTACCCCCCCACACACACACACACACAAAGAGAGAGAGAGAGAGAGAGAGAGAGAGAGAGAGAGAGAGAGAGAGAAAATATAACAGGGGCCTGAAGCTTAAAGACACACCTAAGGAAGGCAATAAACAGCAGCCACAGAGTGGAGGACTCCACAAAGCACCGTGAGACATGGGTAAGCAGTAGCCTCCCATAACATCAACACACGAAGCAGAAACAGGAGCAGTCAAGCAGCCAAAATAGTAGCCCAGAGGTAACTGCTCTGCCACCGGAACCATCAATGTCACTGCTAGAGCCGTCCTTATTCCATGCACCATGCATCCAATTCTCTGTAAGACTATCTACGCAGCTGGCCTTGCCTCCTGGTTTCCCCTTAGCTCGGTGACAAACCTCCACCATCGAAGGGTAACCCAGACCTTTGTTCTATCCCTGCGCCCTAAAGATCTAAGTGAGCACAAAGCAGATCCTCCATCCAAGGCATTGTCTCGCCATTCCCAGAGTCAACATTTTAGAAATCCCTTAGCCTAGAGGCCGGTGTGGCTCTCCAGCCTCTGCCTGGACGCCCTCTGTGCAAGCCCCCCCTGCCCGGGGTGTTGAGTAATGAGGCCACATTTGAAATGCACCAGCCCGACTCAGCACTCTGCAATAAAGTGAACAGACCTGCTGGCCACCTGCTGAGCACCGTGGGTAATTACTATTGATCCAAAGATGCCATGAGATCTGAGAAAGAGCACACTGGACAAACGGAGCATGTGACCTTAGACAAGTTACCTCGGGCATTCTCACCTGTGAAATGGAGATACTATAACCCTAGGAGCTGTCAGAATAAACCAGCTACTCTATTTCCTGCAGCAGAGTGACTGCACTTTAAAAATCCCTCTAGCCCCAAGTCATGCCGATTTGAGGATAGGTCCAGCTGCCTTTCCTCAGAGGACTGACAAAAGCAGGCCCACCTTGCCAGCCAGGCTTGCACACTGGCTTCACGTCCACCTGCACCAGGGTGTCCTGAGCGGCAGGCTTCTGGCCACAGTCGTAGGCGGTCACCAGGATCTCGTACTGGTGCTGCTTGTCATAGCTCAGCTTCTCGGTGTTCCTGATGTTGCCTGAGGACACAGAGACATTCAGTGTTGTTTCAGATCAAGTTGAGCACGCTGCCGTTCTCCCACATCCCTTCCCCACTCCTCCAACCTCCACCAGAATGAAATGAGCCCCTTCCCTATCCCTTGGTAAGGTCAAGGGTACAGGAGGCCATGGCTTCCACAGGCAGATTCCAGGATCAGTTGACTGGAGCCACCCCAGCTGTGGGGCAGGGCTGCTTTGAATCCCAAGCACGCATTTGGGACCCGACTGGTTTGTGTGTGTAAGTGATGGGTTGTTGGAAAACTCTCTCTCAAAGTGCCCCATGTGGCTGCGGCCCTGATGTCAGGCCCAGAGCTCATCTGCCATGAAATCTCTGGGAAAAAAGATGGAATTCAGAAATGTCCTGACACATATTTTTTAACATCTGGGCTCATTGCCAGGAATGTTCACTGCCTCTTCTCACATTATTTTGCTACCAAATAGGAAGTAAAATCAATAAGAAAACGTGTGACCTCTCTTGCAAAGCTGCACAGAATAACCGATTCCTTGCCCTGGTGGCAAAGACATTTTTCTTCTCCCAGAAAGACCAAACCGTTTTTTATGAGCCATTTGTGTGTTTTTATCCCTGTGGGTGTGAGATTATGACTCAGGAATAAATATTTGATAAATAACAAGCAAAACTTTAATTGACGATTTTTGCTAAAATACCATTTTGGTTCCAAGAAACTAATGAGAGGCCCAATGTGCATTGAATAATTTTTAGTTTTTGATTCCAAGAGATGCAAGTCTTCCTTTGTGGAGACTGATTTCATTCTTGCATTATTTTTTTCCTGATGGTGGAGCTGACAGCAAATTAGAACTCAAATGCTATCATCATCCTTTACCAGAAGTGAAATTAAGAAAGTGGAAATTAAAGGCAAAACAAACTAACAAGCAAATAAACAAGTGTGGAATGGCTGACTCACACAAATTCTTAGATTTCATCCAAACTAAGGGAAAACTACCTAATGAGCTTTCTTCCATTCCAACTGATTATTGTTCATGTGAATTGAGATAACAGGGACTAAGGCAAGAAAGCCTGGGGAATAGAAAAGTCACATAATGTTTTAAAGATCGGACAAGTTGATCCACCAGTCACCCAGTCTTAAACAGTACTCAGTAGTAGTCCAGGAGCAGGTGCAATAAACGTAAGTGCCTGTGAGGAGGAGGAGGAGGAGGGAGTGGAGGCAAGTGGTGGTGAGGAGGGATGAAGTTGCCCATGACATTGGACCAAGCATTCAAATCATTTGTTCTGCTACCTTCTCTGAATTGTTTCTAAAAATGCAACTGCAGCCACGGATTTGAAGTACGATTTACTTTGACAAAGCCAGTCAAAAATCTCCGAATAAAAACGGGTTTGAGGTATTTTTGGCCTTGTGGCTGGTATTCAGAATCCCTTTCATTTTCCCCCAAATATTTGTTTCAGTCTCAGCGTGGAGCCCGTACAGGTCCGGGACGGCTCAGAACCGGGTTGGTAACACTCCCTCGGGGTTCCCTTAACAAACTCATTTGTGGTTACAGTTATCACAGGGGAGGGATTCTGCAGGTGCAGGCGCCGGAATATAACCGTGAGGAGGAGGTTTCAGCGACATCAGATTGAATTTTCAACAAAAAGTTTTAGCTTTCTCTCTCTTTCAAGTGAAATGGCTCTCTAAAGATACGTCTCTGAGAAGAGGAAGGCTTAGGGTTTACAATCCGTGTGACATTAAGCAGACCAAACACTATTGATTGTGCTAGAAAAATAAACACACGGGCCGGCAATCCTGGGCTCAATTTGTTGCCGCTCCTCTCCCGTAACTGTCTTAATGAAACTGTCTGAGAAACTAATTTACTTTCTCCGCCACCACCACCTTCAGGCCTGTGAGGATAAGATTCAGAGCACAGATGTGCAGCAGTGGGTCACCATGAGAGGCAATGTTGGGACCCACCGTCCTGTGGGGACGGCAACATCTGGATAAGACACCCATTTAACACATTTCGATAGCTCGGAAGAAGCCATCCGTTTTGCTTCTGTTACAATTCTATTTCCCCCCTCATATTTGAGTGATTTCTCCTGGTAGTGCTTTCTCAGTTAGCTGAGTCCACAGTTAACCCAGGTGAATGGCTGCCCCTGGGGCCTATTCCCCTGTCCACATGAGCCTGGGCAGCTAACTCTCAAAGAACAGTTAGCCTGTACCTTGCAAGTTGGTGAAGGCAATTTTTTAAAACTCAGGTGGGGAGGGTGCAATGAGGCAAGCACAGTGACCTGCACACTCCCTCCCCTGGACCTGAACTTGGAACAACCCTTTTGGAAAGCTATATGGGCCAGTCACTTTGCAATTATTCACACCTGTGGGGCATGCAATTCCACATCTAAAAATTGGTTCCAGAAAAATTTCAGATGTTTATTGTGAAAAATTGTAAATACATGTGAAAATAGGTCCGTCGCAGCATTATTTATTACCTCGAAAAAATAGAAGAGAAACGGCATGTCTGGTTGCAGGGGAGAGCTAAGGGTAAGCATCTGTGTGAGATGGAGTGTTGTTCAGCACTGAACGCGGTCATTATGAAGCACTTTTAAGGGTGGAAAAAATCCATGTTATCGAATGTGAAGCAAAAAATGGGAGGATAAAGGAAAGCAAGAGATGTGGGCCATACTTTTATTTAAAAAGTCAGAAAACTACTGGTAAAGTGTCATTAGTGGTTACCTTTTAAAAAAATGTTTAATGGTGGTTATCTTTGGTGGGATTATACGTGACTGATTTTCTTCTTCACACTTTCCTATGCTTTCCAAAATTCCCACGAGGGCTTGTGCTGCTCTTCTATTCAGGTGGAAAAGAAGTGTTTTCATTTACTGTAAGAACACACCGACTCCAGGGTGCCCTTCACTCAGAGGCATCAGCCCCATTACTCTGTGGGCAGCGGCTGGCAGAGAACTTGGCTGAGACCAGGCACCCCTGAGAATCAGACAAGTCTGTCCAGTGGTGAGTGCGTGTCATTGAGTCCCCGCTGTACCCTCTGTGGTCAGTCTCAAACGTGGTTGAGAGTCTGGCTGTGGCAAAGCTCTGGTGAATGCCTCCTTTGCTGTTTATTCACCCCTATCATGGGCAACATGTTTAATTCCCATTTTACTGATGAGGATCTGAGCAAGGTTAAGCAACTGGTCAAGGATCACACACACACACACACACACACACACGCACACGCACACACGCAGGGATGGATGTAGGATTAAGATGCAATTTTGTGTTTTTGAACCTAAAGACCATTGCCATGCATTCCTGTCAAATATCAGTAAGGAGCGTGATGATGTCACTGGTGGAAAGGCCTTGGGGCCAACACTCGGGGGACCTAGGCTCTAGTCCCACCTCTGCCACCTGCATGATAGGTGCTGGCAGGCAAGCGCTTTATGCTTTGGGGACTCAGTTTTTCCATCTGTTCAATGGAAATGAGCATCTAGGCCCTACCGATCTCTGAGAGACCAGCCAAATGCCAGAAGATGGGGGCCTGGCAGCCATCTGAAATCGATCTAGAACTTCCCAGGAGGTGGGTGATGTCACCAGCTCAGAGTTACCTGTTTATAATTTCAGCCTGGAAACCCATGGGGAGTGAGTGAGTAACCGAGTGAGTAACCGTCATGTCCCAATCCCCCAGCAAATACCTAAGTAATCATGGCACCATGAATCGAGCACTCCCTATGTGCCTGCAGGTATTATCTCCGGGCACTGCCTCTCCCTGAGGCCTCACAACCCCACAGGGAGGCAGGAACTATTACTGCTTTGATTTCACAGGGGAGGGAGGCTGAGGACTTCTGTTGAAAGAGGTCAAGTCTTCCTTTAAGACAGGTCATTCTGACTCCACATTGTATTCTGTCCTCCCTGTGCCCTGCTCCCCTTCCTTCCCTCACAAACAAAGAGCCTGGCAGGTTGGGGGGCAGGGGGGGGGGGAGCAGGAGCCATCTACCTGAAGCCCTGCAGTCTCAGTGAGTGGGCCCCAACTCAGTAGTACTTTTTCTGATATGCATGCAAAGAACTTCTTCAAGGAGCCTGTAAGGTCGCTGGAGGAGTGATGGATAAGAGCCAATTGGGAAGCTCATTAGAATGGGAGCTGTTTCTGTGCCTGCCCCTGGGTCCTACCTTCATTACTTGGAGAACTGTTCTTGTAAACCTCACTGTCAGGGGCCCACACTCCCTGGGAGTGCCCACTCTCCTCTTCATCTTAAGTTGTAAACCAATGTTGGAGGCAGAGGCCTGGCAAAGAACCATTACTCACTTTTAATGAGACAGTGAGGGAAATAAATTGGCATATGTTAGTGAAATGGCTCATCAAGGTGAGTAATTATCTCCATGACTGGGGCAGTTTACCCTCTGATGAAAGAATTTGCATCTCATCTCTCATTGGCTTGTGGCTCTCCAGGACTAAGGCAGGGGATCAAGGGGAGCTTGACCACTCATCACAGACACCTCCTTCTCTAGTCCTGCTCTTCATGAGGGACTTGTCACTCCCCAAATGCTAGTTTTTGCAGACATAGACCCAACAGCTGGTTATGGAGGAACAGAAAAAATACAAAAGAGTTGTTCATATTTTATGAAGTGGTGTGTGTGTGTGTGTGTGTGTGTGTGTGTGTGTGTGTTGTGAGATACATGTCTGTGGGGTGGGGATGGGCCACCCATCTGTATGAAAAGCTATCAGAGAGCAGTTCTGATGCGCTCTACTAGTTGAAATGATCTATTTCTCAGCCCCAAACTAAACGTTAATTGAAGTCTAGCATTTTATATCTTACTTTTTTATGCACTGATCTTGTGTCCTACACAATCAGCATCTGGTAATGTCCAGGTATTTTAGCATTTTATAAGGAAACTGCCTTCTGTTAGGAATACTGATTTCCTCTTACAAGACACATCACAGACGAATGGAGGTCAGGGAGGAGGGTTTATCCTTGGCTTCCTTCCCTTCTGGAATCTGCTGCAGTTCTAGGGATACAGAAGACACTATCACTGGGTATGTTTCTCCCTGGTCTCAACATCGAGAAGCACTGGAATCACTGAAGACTTGCAAGCAGGTGACGATGATATTTCCCTCTAGGTCTTGGCTACCAGGAAGCTCAGAGCTAATTTGTTGCCCAGCCCTGGCTCATGGCATGCTTTGTATACCAACCTTGATGCCACCTGACTTTGTATCTTTTATTTTGAATTTTCCCCCACTAGATGGTAAGCTCCATGTGGACAGGCCCATGTCTGTTTTAAGTTCTACTCTATCTCCATCCCCAGTTCCAAGCACTGTGCTTGGCACTCAATAAATATAATTATTTACAGAATAGATGAACTTCAGGTTTTGCTGCTTTTGAGTCTTTGTGCAGAACTTAAATCCTATTTGAAACAAAGGGTAATATACATGAACCCATACACTTGTGCTAATAATGAAATAATATACTTGACAAATAATTTTCATTAGATTGATATCAAGTTATTGAAAATTGCAGTTAAAAGGGGCTGAATTGATTGGGCCTCTGGCTGTCATGTTTACACTACAATGAGTTTTTAATTAATGGTGATGGAGAAATGTCCACAAGGCTTTATTAGGACTGTTTTTACTTCAGTAAGTTCAGTTTGAGATTGGGATGTTGTGGGAGGGTTCTTCCATCCTTCATTCTCAGTAGAGTAGAAATTCTCAAAGGACTTTGACAAGACCTTTTAAGATTCCTGAATGGATCTACAGCTTAGAAGGTGTTTCAGAAATCTCTACCTTCTCTTTGTTTAGGAGCCGGAAACAGATTGTTGTGTGAGGTGATGTTACAACTGGTTATGTAAGAAAGGGACTCAGACATGGCTGAGTTGAGGGCATGACTCATGTCTAGATGACAACTGAAAAATTCCACCAGAAAACCAAGCTGTGTGCAGATGAGTGGCCTTGTGAGCTCTACAGGCTGTACCCACTGAGTAGGTGCCTTGGGGGTGTTTTATACCTGGCTGGGCTGCTAATAATGCCAGGCCATCTCTCCAGAGCAGGGCTGAGTTCTGGGTTATAGAGCCTAGATCAGGGATGGCATGGGAGGCATTGCCTGCTGAGTACATTCAGGCCCCCACTTGGCCTTCAGAATGGGGGCGGGGGTTGTTTCCCTGCCCCCACTGGGGTCCTCTCAGGACACTCACCATTTCTGTCAATGGCAAAAGGGACATCGGTGGTGACAATTTCATAGTTGCAGATCTGGCTGTACTGGGGGGAGCAGTCCTCATCGACGGCCTCCACCTGTAGGATGCTGTCGTAGATCTTGCCCTCGGTCACCACAGCCTTGTAGGCGGGCTCTTTGAAGGCGGGAGCAAACTCATTGACGTCCTTCACCTGGATATGGACCACGGCCCTGGAACCACACACAGACAAGAAGAGATGGTGGTAAAGAAACAATTGTACCATCTTCCGCGCCGCCCATGGACACCGACTCAGGCCCCAACACCAAGAAAATGGAGAAACCACAAGCCGGTCAGGCAGTTGTTGTCTGAGCGTTCTGTCTGCCATCTCACTGGAGACCCTTCTACCGGCCCTCGTCCTGATCCCCTGCGATGAATCTACCCCCGACCAACTCCTCCCCATTCATTGACCTTCCTTGTCGCCCTTGACAACAGCTTTCCTCTGGACTGTCTCTCCTCTCCCTCATCAATCCGTCATCTGTTCACTCACTCCTCCAATGAGTAAGAATTTAAGTACTCTTATTCTGTGTTAGTCTCTGAGTCAAAGTCCATTAGGGAGAGAGTTACAACCCAACATGAAGAGTTGCTAGGACAGAGAGAAGCATGTGGCATGGCAGAACCCAGGGAAAGGTTCCAATCTCCCAACAAGTCTGCAGGCTGGGCTGGCTCAGGGAAGGCTTCCCCAAGGAAGGGACGCCTGCACTCAGTTCTGAGGGTGGAACAGAGCTGTCTCCCTGGGAAGCAGAGGGTAGTGGATTTCAGGTGGAGAAAGTGGCCGGTACCGGTGCCTGCAGGGGCCTAGGAACTGGCCAGCAGCTGTGTAGGCTGGAGCACCATGGTATGGCCACTGGGTACACATGTCTGTAGAGTAGTGTGTGACAGAGATGGTGGGCAAGAGTGGGGGGGGGGGGTCCAGGAACTGTGTCAGGCGACTCACTTGTGTGACTTCTTCCAGGCTGTCTCCCGGGGCCCCGCGCCACAGTCGTAGGCCTGGATGATGAATGTGTACTCCTTCTGCAGCTCACAGTCGATGGGGCTCTTGGCACGGAGCCGGCCCTCTCCCGATGTCTTGTTGAGCACCACGGCCTCAAAGGGCAGCTCCTGGCCGTGGATCTTGAACGCACAAATCTCCCCTGCAGAGGGATGAAAGGGGAGCAGTGAGTGGGGATCCTGAGAACCGCCCAACTGCAGATGGAGCTTCCGTTGCACCAGATTTGCAAAGCTAACGCCTCCAGGCCATTTCCTCCACCCAGAACTGTCAGACCAGAAGAGGCCTCCAGAGACCCAGCCCAACGTGTTCATTTCATGGATGGTAAAACCGAAGTGATTCACGCATGGAAGTGTCACCCATCAAGTGTATCTGGGAGAAGAAAAGGGGAGAGTCACGTGCGGGAGTGGCTGATGATCCTGGTTTCCTACTTTTCCGAGCAGGTTTCCCTCTGCCCAGTCTGACACTAAAAACTTGCTCACATTGGCCAGTGTGGCTCAGTGGTTGAGCGTCAACCCATGAACCAGGAGGTCATGGTTCGATTCCTGGTCAGGGCACATGCCTGGGTTGTGGACTCCATAGCTAGTGGGGGGCATGCAGGAGACATCTAATCAGTGGCTCTCTCATCATTGATGTTTCTATCGCCCTCTCTCTTCCTCTCTGACCAATAGAAAGAAAAAAAATGAAACAATTGCCCATAGTCAAAAGGCAAATGACTGCAGAGGAAAGGAGGAAAGGCCCAAGTGTGCGCAGCCTTTGGTCCTGTGACCACATCCTTGCTACCTGAACGGGTGCGCTCTGAGCCAGCAGCATGAGCATCCCTGGCAGCTAGTTAGAAATGCAGATGCCCAGGTCCCACCCAGGCCTCCCGAGTCAGAATCTGCGTTTTAACAGGGTCTCTAGGTGATTTGTTTGCTCGCCAACCAAGAGCCGCACTGTTCTGCTCTGTCCTTTGCTCCAGGTTTACACACTCCACGTTGCGGCAGCCACATTCCCCCTGCGCCTGCATGTCTCTCCACCCACCGCTTCCCTGTGGGGAGAGGGACTCCACTCTGAGTTGCAATTTTATTTCAAAACAGTGGGGGTGAGCCTGTGTGAGTTCTAGAATCCCTGTGGAGCTCGGGAAGCTAACTTCTTAAAGGGTTGAACATGTTGTGAAATTAATGCATTTCTCCCCCTCAGCTGGGTTAATGTGTCTTATAACTATTTCTCTGCATTAAAATGATAAGGCCATGAAAATACCTTCCTTGTCTCAATAGGGTGGATATTTGTTTCTTGCAACCTGACTGCAAGTAAGCCCTGTACTGTGTGCCTTGGGAGGTGGTGAAAATTTGAAACACATTCCCTTCTGTCTTGAGGGAGTTTACAGACTTGTTGGGGAGACAATGTCCAGGTGTCCAGAAAGGCCGTTCAGAGTGCAAAGGGGTGTGTGCGTGTCACGTGGCCTGGGCAGCAAGGAGTTAAATGCAGGCTTGGTCTGGAGGTCTGGATTCACATTCCAGGCTTGCCACTTACTCCATGATTTAGTCAAATTATACTGCTTCTCTGGCTCTCCATTACGTAACTTGTAAAATGATCCAGGAGATAGTGTTGGGAGGAGGGCACCTACCCTGAGATACCCCAACCCTGGTCTGACATTGCCCCAGCTGCACTGCTGGAACCCCAGTGAGGCACCTAGGGTGCACAGTTTAGGGGGGCCCTACCCTCAAGGTGACCAGGCACCCGCCCCGCTGCTGCAAAGTGACACTGTGAGAAGAAGGGATAACATGACTGCATGCCTGCTCTGTGCCAGGTACTGAGCTTTGTACCTAGCCCCACTCAGGTGACCTCATTCAATCTTCCTAACAAACCTGCAAGGCAGAGGTTTTATACCAGTTTGTACAAATTTAAAAAAGAAAACAGATCAGAGAGGTAGGTCATTACTTGGTCAAGGTCACAGAGCTAAAGTGGGTCTAAAACCCAGATGTGGCTGACTTCTAAGTCCATGCCCTGTCTATTTCACTGCACCCTCTCCAAGCAGCCCCGTTACTTTTATTTTTAATCCTCACCCAAGGATATGTTTTTATTGATTTTAGAGAGAGAGAAAGGGAGAGAGGAGGAGAGAGAGAAACATCGATGCGAGAGAGAAACTTCAATTGGTTGCCTCCCTAAAGCTCCCGCACCAAATATCAAGCTCACAAACGAGGTCTGTGTCCTGACTGGGAATCGAACCGGCAACCTTTTGGTGTACAGGACGACGCTCCCACCAGCTGAGCCACTTGGCCTGGGCAGCCCCATAACCTTTGAGGGACCACTGTGGGGACCTCTTCCCATCCCATTCTATATCCCCATTCAAGCCGCATTCAGGGAGAAATCCCCCGTTTTACATGTAGGAAGCATGCCCTGATCTCTCACTAACTATATTTTCTGAGATGGCCGATCGATAACAAACTTACCTTTAGGCTTTTGATTTTTTATGATTTCATTGATCCTCAATTTCATTACGAACACTCCATTTTCACTACATCCCCTCCTGGCCATTTCTCAAATGGAGTTGTGGAGTAATGGACAGGAGAGACAGATGTGGGCCAGGCTCTAACAAGGAGGCAGTGTTCTCGGGATCACCAGCAGCTCCTTGCTGCCTCTCCGACAGAGCTGCTCTGCAGCCCTCGGGGCGGGAGGACAGGTTTCATCCCATCCTCCAGCTATTTCTGCTCGGAATTATCTGGGGCTTAACTGGATGAACTTCTAAAGTGCCTGCCTTGTGATTCTATCCGAAGATCAATGCCAATAGAGGAATATTACTACCGAAAATGTCTGAACTGGTTCTCGGACATTATCTGAAGTGGCCAACCACTGCCACGATTATAAGACTAATCAGACCATTTCTCTTTGAAGAGACCAGTTAAACCAAAAATAAAAGAGGGCAATTTTCTGTTGGAAACACTTGATTGCAATTAAAGTAGTTCTCAAGACTCAGAAATCCTTCACCAGAGGAAAGGAGAGGAAGGAGGAAAAGGAGAATGAGGGGGGGAAGAGGAGGCCCAGGGGAGGGTGAGATGAAGTAAACCTCAGGGCGACATATTTTCATCTCACTCAATTCAGCTCAATTCAATTCAATACACCCTGCAGCGTCTGAGAGCGAAGTGCCAGGCACGATGCTGGGCCTGGAGACACAAAGAAAATGATTCGAACACCTGAAACCATAAGGACACTCCTAGGCACTCAGCACTTAGTGGAGGAGACAGTCGACCAGGGCAGCGCAATGCTCACCTAGTTTTCACCGGCTCAGACGGAGACAGGATTTAGCCCCCCTTGGAACAAAACCTGGAATTCATGTCACCCTCATTTATCCCACCTCTTCATCTGACACCCAGGTTCCTGCTGCAAAGACTTTCGTTCATTCATTCATCCAGTCACCTCGTAAATATTTATTAGGGACTATGTCCCAGCACTGGTGAAACAGTGATGAAGAAAACCAGCCCAGCCCTGGCCTACAAGCTGCTGGCGGTCCCGTAGGGGAGGGAAACGAGCCCCCAGAGAATCACATCCCTGAGTGAAGAGTGGCGACTGTGGTAGGTGGGCGGTGCTAGGAGAGTCCTGACCTGCCGGCAGGCAGGGCTAACCTAAGGATGTGACCTCAGGATGTGACGCTGAGCTGAGACCACAGGAAGAGACAGAGGAGCACAGCCTGGCCGCGAGGAAGGGAAGTGAGTGTCAGGCGGTGGGGCCAGCACCCCACAGGGCCTCAGCAGGAAGGAACACAGCAGGCCCTGAAGGAACATCAGGGCCAGAGTGGCAGGCGTAGAGGCAATGGGAAGGGCCGGCTACGTTGGGGATGTGACCAGAGAACCACACAGGGCCCGGGCTCAAGCGGGTCCTGAGCTTGGTTTAAATTTCTGCTGTCACCATCTTGAAATCCTTAATAATTTTATCTTTGAACTTGTGTTCTGTAAATGAAGTCGGGTGGACGATGGAGCATGTTGGGAGCAGAGAGATGGGAGCAATGTGCCCGTTCATTGTCCTTGTGCCCCATTCAGGTATAGCATCCAGGTTGCCCCCTGAGCACAGCCCCGGGTGGACCAGATGCATGGGAGTTCCGCGGGACTCAGGGATAACACGGTAAGCCCGTGGCACTGAGGACCCAGTGAGCAGAGAGCTGACAGCCCAGACAGGCCATCCCTTCTGCTTGAACCAAAATTGTTTAGGCCACAGAAAGAAGGCAGGGTATTTTAAGAAACACGACCAACCAAAGAGCCCTGTCCTGTCCTTTCTCACTCCTGTTACTTCTCGGTAGTAGCCAACAACGTATGCTGACAATGATGACAGGCAGGAGGAGGAAAGATAAGACACCCCACAGTTCCTTTTCTGTTTGGACTGTCTTTTCTATCTGTCAGCCAAAGGGAGAGAGTGTTAGTAGAGAGTGTGTACATATCAAGAAGTGAAGTAAAAATAGTTGGGTTTGGTTTGCATGGCATTTACACTGATCTGGTAAAGGACTAAATACATATGCATATGTGAGCTACAAAATGCATTTTCTGTGATGTTCAGAGATTCTGCACAGCACTTAACTGCTCGTATACTTACATGGGAAACTGGCATTGCACAGTATAGAGATATCAACGGTAAAATTCATGCTAATAAATTACAATGTTAATTTTTCTTTACTCAGAATAGCATCAAATAGCAAATTTACAGCACCACAAGCCGAGCGAGAGAGAGAGAGAGAGAGAGAGAGAGAGAGAGAGAGAGAGACTGTGGACGAAAAGCCCCAGGATGGAGCCCTGAGAAGGACGAGTATCTAACGCTGCAGTTCCCAGTGTCTGTGTGTGACACATCGGGCTGTCTTGATCTTTCGGGAGGCCTGTCACTAGAATTTGTTATTATTAATAAAGCACTGCAGTGGGAGGATGAGGCACTTAAAAGGGAAAAGATCAGACTTAATGGTTTCCATATAAAAAGATCACTTTTAAAATCTTGCTTTCCAACATACTTCCTTGGGTGGGAGAGCGGGTGTGCCGGGAACTACGTGTGGGAGTGCAATAGCCAGATGACCATGCCCTTGGGACCAGCCCTGGGAAAATGAGGCCAGCAGCTGCCAGACCTGAGTGCCATCTAACACTGGCTGTGGTCGAAGGTGGCTACAGCTTCACCAAGAGGCCCCGT